AAGACCAACAAAAGCTCTCTGTCTTCCTCTCCTTAATGGGAGAATTTTAGCAAAGCTCCTTGGAAAGAAAAACTAGTTGAATCCCAGCAGCTAAGTGTTGCATTTCTTTGATGGACATTTCAAATGGATGGTTTGGTGGAGGAAAGTGATAAAAGGAGGAAGTATGCAGCTGAGCCTGTATTTTGACTTCTGGTTGATTCTCAAAAGAGCCTGCTTGACCTGGCATCTGTGCAAGGCATGTAGCATTCTGGAACTAAGCCGAGGAAGGCCGTCAGCCTAGTGACCTACAGAGGAAGGAGACAGGAAGATTATTGGAGTATCTTGTGGTTATATTAGAAGATAACCCGAGAGACTGTGGTTTGGGCCCAAATATGATGAGAGATTTGGGACATTCGCCCACGTAGATAAGATAGTAAAAAAAACTGCGGTCACATAGGTGACTGTCAAGGCAATTGGAGCCCTTCGTCCTTCTCTGAATTTGCCTGTCACTCCAGAATTAAGAAGTGTCCTCAATTTTCTGTGCAGTTTTACATTGGGAGGGATGGGTTTCAAGGGATGCTATAAACTCAATAGAGAAAATGTTCACATGAAGGCATGTGGAGGTAAGAGTAGTCATGGAGACTGGAAGCAATTCATTTATGTAGGTGGTGGCTAGTAAGGCAAGTATAGTGTAGAAGTCACTGCGTTTTCCTTCACATCAGGTACTCAGCGACCTGAGGTCTGCAGGCCAGATCTTGAAAAGTGTATCACTCGCCTCTGTTCCTCCAAGGAGCAGAGTTTTAAAAGGTTTTGCTTGTGTCAAAACATAATGTATTTTGAGCCCTAGCGGGTTTGGCTCTGTGGTTAGCGCGTCGGCCCACAGACCGAAGGGCTGCAGGTCCCATCCTGCCGGGACGCGTGTGGGAGGCAGCCGATCAATGTGTCTCTTTCACATCAATGTTTGTCTCTCTCTCCCTTCCACTCTCTCTGAAAAGCAGTGGAAAAAATATCCTCGGGTGAGGGTTAAAAAAACAAAAGCATAATGTCTTTTGAGTTAGCTGACTCTCTGGATGAAGTCTGTAACCCGTCTGTGCATCACCTGCTTTTCACCATCCACTGTCCTAATCAGAAAACAAACAGCAAAAGTAAAATGTACTCTAGTTGTCTCTCTTGCCTTTTTAATTCATTCTCTTTTTAAATTTTTTTTTATTATAATTTTATTTTTCAGAGTTAAAAGCAACAAATGCTACCGTGGGCCCCCGATCATTTATTCTCAGGAATTCCGATGACGGTGGGTTTGAACACATCCCAGTGGAGGACTACGAGGAGAGAAATGAAAGCAGGTTAACTGGAGACAGGAGCTCCGTCAATCACAGCAGCCCTCTTCAGAACCGACGACCCCCTGTGTTCATCTCGAAGGATGCGTCCGGGTACCTGACCAGCGCCTGGTTGACTCTCTTCATCCCCTCCGTCTACACCGGCGTGTGTGTGGTCAGCCTTCCCCTCAACGTCATGGCCATCGCTGTGTTCGTCTTGAAAGTGAAGGTGAAGAAGCCGGCCGTGGTGTACATGCTGCACCTGGCCGCGGCCGATGTGCTCTTCGTGTCCGTGCTCCCGTTCAAGATCAGCTATTACTTCTCCGGGAGTGATTGGAGGTTTGGGTCCGAGATGTGCCGCTTCGTGACGGCGGCGTTCTACTGCAACATGTACGCGTCCATCATGCTCATGACCGTCATCAGCGTGGACCGGTTTCTGGCCGTGGTGTACCCCATGCAGTCCCTCTCGTGGCGTACCACAGGGAGGGCGTCCTTCACGTGCCTGGTCATCTGGGCTCTGGCCGTCGCGGGGGTGGTGCCCCTTCTGCTCAAGGAGCAAACCACCCGGGTGCCCGGGCTCAACATAACCACCTGCCACGACGTGCTGGGTGAGACCGTCCTCGAAGGCTACTACGCCTATTACTTCTCGGCCTTCTCTGCCGTCTTCTTCTTTGTGCCGCTGGTCGTCTCCACGGTCTGCTATGTGTCCATCATTCAGTGCCTCAGCTCCTCCACGGTCGCCAACCGGAGCAGGAAGTCCCGGGCTCTCTTCTTGTCTGCTGCTGTTTTCTGCATCTTCATCATTTGCTTCGGACCCACAAACGTCCTCCTGGTTCTGCATTACGCGTTCCTTCCTCATGACCCCGGCACGGAGGCTGCCTACTTCGCCTACCTCCTCTGTGTCTGTGTCAGCAGCGTGAGCTGCTGCATCGATCCCTTGATCTACTACTATGCTTCGTCCGAGTGCCAGAGGTACCTCTACAGCATCTTATGCTGCAAAGAAAGTTCCGATCCCAGTAGCAGCAGCGGTCAGTTGATGGCAAGTAAAATAGATACCTGCTCTAGTAACCTGAATAACAGCATATACAAGAAGCTGTTAACTTAGGAAGAGGGGCTGCTGGAGGGTTGCAAAGAAGAGTTTTCAAAAGCAAAGAACCTGAGGATTTTATTGGTCCGTGCCAAAAAAGTATTTACTTTATCATTTTAAACAACAAATGTGTGATTTGCATGCCTCCATCTTAAGAGAGCCATTAAGGGTATGTATTTGTTAGTTATAGAAAGAGGTCGCATCAGTAGAAAACAATGTTATTCCAAGATAGTATTGCTGATGCTGCAATAATAATTGAATGTTACTTTAGATATATTTAGGTGACTTACATATATATGTGTGTACACATACACACACACACACACACACACACACACACTTCTGTCAGTTGCAATGCATTATAGAACAGACACTTTGAAACCCTCTTTTTTCCTCAAGAGATTATAAAAATAAACTCTGATTCTCTGATTTAATATGCAAAGTTTAGGTAGGCAGAGTTTACCACTGAACATCTGAAGATGTCCATCAATAGTGACGTCCATCAATAGTTTGGACTTACACAGCTTTTGCAAATAAGTTTATTTTGAAATTGTTCAACATCTTTAAATTATTGAGAGATGAGTGTGATCTGTGTGTAGAGAAAGTTCTGTTTTTCATTTTAAACATATCAAAGTTTGAATTCTTTAAATTATGGAAACATGAGATGGGTAGCATTTTTGATGTTTTATACTATGTAAACCAAGAATGACCTACTAGTGACTTGAGGTTGGCTTTCAAACTAACCCACCCCGGATGGAGGACTGCAAGCAGTGCATACAAGGCAGGGTTGTCCAGACCCCTCTAGCTGAGCTCCTAGAGAGCGCAGGGGTTGACACCACCACACTTGCTCTCTCTCCTGGGGTCCCCTCGGGTTGGATCATGTTTAGTAGAAATTGGCAGAGTAGGATGTGCTATCCCAGGAGATAATGAATATCTGCCCATTCATTTTAAGAACAAAGATAGAAGGCATGTTCATTTCTGGCATTTACTCTGCTAGGTCCATTCTCAGATGGGAGCACCCAAGGCGCAAACATGAATACCCTTTATGTGCTTCGGGCACTCTCATGGGTGCGGGGCAATAGAGTTGAGTAAGACTAGGACCTGCCCTCAAGAAGAACAAAGTAGACCAGACCTAGAGTGTGATATGTGTGTAGTAAGTATGTCATTATGTAAAGAAGTGTTTTTAGCCAGATGTCACCAAAGAAGTTTCACAGAGCCTGCCAGTTGAAAAACTTTGAACATTTGGATTACTGCTTCCTGTGGTCATAACTTGAGTTGAAAACACAATACAGTACAGGAAGTGCATTTTACAAATAAGTCCTTCAGTCTACATTAATTGGACACTGTATTTACAAATGTTTTCAATAAATTACCCAAGCCAGGTTCTCAAAAAAGAAATTCATCAGTCTGATTAGAAGTAGCAGAAGAAACTTAAATTGACTTTGAATTCTAGCAAAATTATTCTGTTTTCTATTCACTTTTCTTAATAGCTGATGAGGTGATTTTAAAAGTATTTTTTAACCCCAGGATGAGTATCAAATACAGTAACTCCTCATGGCTTTGACAGAATAATTTGAAAATTAAGTTGAAATGTATCTGTTTTCCATATGAAAAAAATGTTGGCATCTTAAACTAAAAAATGGAAAGTTCCAAGGCAAATGTTTACCTATTTAAAAGAACAAACTATCTCCAAATGCTATAGAATAATTTACATTAAAGTATGTATTATAAGTAGAAGCTAACATTGATTTTATTAATTTAGTTGCTATACTCATTTTATCTAACTCGGTAGAGATTACTGTCATTGTTTATTCAGCCTGTGTATGTATGTGTGTATATATATATATAAACACCTCTGACTTAATATGACCATCATTACTATATTATCAGTCTGTACTTATAAAATATTATGTCACTGTTTTTATGTTCTCTCTTTTTTAAAAATGTGTGTAACCTATCTTAATAAACGTGAAAGTTTGCTTGGCACCTGTTGGGGACACATTTTTGTTGTATCTTTCAGGGCCCTGGCAGGAAGGCCAGTCTAAAGGTTTAGCTGAAGAGCATTTAATGAAGAGGCGGTTTGCAGAGGTGTGGACAGGGTCAAGGTAACCAGCAAGGTTAGGGAAGCCCCGGGGCCACAGGCTGGAGGAAGGAATACCCTGATCCCCATCCTCTGCTTTTCACGGGCGCCTCCCTTTGCTCCTGATCTTAACCCAAACTCAGAGGTCAAGAGAACCTGGGCAATGTAGTCCCTAAAGTTCAGCTTCTTGGAGCATAGAGAAGGGATGCGGGGGGGCACAATTTCTACCAAAGGCACTGGGTGATTAGCTCTCTGGGTCTTTTTTTTTAATCCCTTCTTGGGAAAATTCAGGGTTATATCATTGAGAATATATAACCTAAGAATATCAGATTCTTAGGTTACAGGCACAGAGGATAGAGTCTGCAGTTCCTTCCTAGAGAGAAGCAATAAATGTCAGCCAGGATGATACGTTGAAACCCACAGAAGGGCTGCCCAGTGCAATCCTTTGCCATCTAACACTCTTTGGGGTAGAGGAGAGGAGGGGAAATTTAAAGCAAAATGAGACATGAAAATCAATAAAAACTTCTGATAACGTATTTCTAGATCCATAGTCAACAAAATTATTTCAATTAAAGGATTCTGTTAACACAGTATTTTTAAGTTAACACAAGCTTAGGTTTCTGGGGCCTGGGCTCTCCACAAGTGCTTCAGGAATCGATATATTGAAGGAAGTCTGCCCAGCTACACCCGAATGGGATCCCCACTCTAACCAGAGAGGACCTTTAAACTCTTCCCTTGTCGTTTTTTAAAATAGGTTTAAATTTAAAAAACTCTTGGGTTTTCTTAACACAAAAATGTTTGTTTTACCCACCAAGTCAAAAATAGGATTTTAAAGGAAATGGAATATTTGGTTGTTGAATAGACAAGTGGAAAATTTTAGGTTGTAATTCTGAATTTAAGAAAAATGTTGGCATGTCCTTCAGGAAGTCTGAGCTCTGAGAGCAAGTGGAAAAAGTGAAGCAGTGTTTGTGACCAAGCTTTTTAACTTTCTGAGGCCTGGACCCTCCACTAATAGCTAATCACCTAGATGTCATAGTAAAAATTAGGGAGGGAAATAGTCACCAACAGTAAGTTCCTGGCAGAACTGGCATAGCTGTATGGCTGTTCCTTTCAAAATAGGGATAAAATTAGTTAAGCCGCCATCTGAGCCAAGGGGAGAAATGTCCCAATGCAATGATTGTCAGAGTCCTGAAGACCCTTTCAGGATATGTACAAGGTCAAAACTACCTTAAAACACTGGAACATTAATTGCCCTTTTTTGGTCTGATTCTCTCACGAGTACACTGTTGAGTTTTCCAGAGGCTACATGATACATGATAGTGTAACAGATGGAATAAGTGAAGCAGATATGAAAAGCTGACTGTCTTCTATTCAGCCAGCCGTTACAGAGATTTGCAAAAAATATAAAACAGTGCAACTATCCTCATTAAATCATTGTTTTGGGGGGAAAATGCCTTTGTGGAAAATATATTTTTGTTAACATGTAATAGGTTTATTGTTATTTTTAAGTAAAAGAAACGTTTTCCAGAGTTCTTTATTTTAATGTCTAATGTAACTATCGGTAGATATAATCAGTGGGTTGCTCTTAAACGGGATCTCCAAGAAAAGATAAAGCCCCTAATTTAGAGTATTTGTCAGTTTCCACCCATGGTGTATATATATATATATATATATATATATATACTCCCTCTGTTTCCAATTTCAAGCTTCCAATGGTTTAACAGTTGGCCTGAATATCCCTTTAATTCCCCTGAGCTGGTATAGCCACTGGATATAACCTACACACACAAAAACTTTTTGGAGTTTTAAATAATTTTTAAGTATATGGCGTGTCCTGAGCTAAAAATGTTTGAGAACCCAGCTCTTATGTGAGATTTCCCAACTTTATCACCTTTAAGAAGCTGTTCATAATTATAAAGCACAGAGGGGGGGGGACAGTTGGCTCACAGCTGCAGGCCACCACATTGGGCTTCTGTCAGCCCCACAGCTGAGAGTCAGTAACTTGCAGCAACAGAAACTGATTCAAGGCAGCAGGTCCGGTGTGCCCTAGAGGCTGGAGAGCTTGTGCGAGGCCTGACTTCCATCCTGAGGCTGTGAACCACTATGGTGCCATCACTATAAGGTGAACATCGGGCTCCATGCTGCTTGTCACGGGGACTGTTTTGACTGCACGACGCTCTTCTGGGAACCCAGAAAACCAGATGTCAGAGTCAGCAACATCTTGGAATTCAGATAGCACAGTATGTTTCTACCCATCTGTCTTTGTGTTCATCATGTCAGGAAATGACTCATAAGCCCCAAGGAGATTAGGTTTGAAAGCTGCATGTATTGTAGCCTAGAGACATTGGTGGTGGCAGGGCCGGTCTGGCTGTTTTGTCTTAATAGCCACAACATTGGGGCACTTTAGTGTGCTGCTGTGTGACCCGTCCAGGGGAATGAGAACAGGACCAAAGGTGCGGTTTCCAGTATTAAGATGCATTTAAGGGCAGGTCCTCAGTTTTTTGTGTGTTTTTGTTGTTTTGTTTCTTACTCAGATACCTAGTTGCTCTTGAAACTGGCTGACATGATGTCCAAAAAAAAACATTTTAAAAAATATATTCCTGTCCAGGAGCTAACTGGTTTTTGGATTTAATTATAATATGTAATACTTAATAAGCATGGAATTTGAAGACCTCAAATTTTGTAGTATTACCAACTATGCCCTGTTAGAAAGAAGTTTTAGAAACTTTGTAGGTCACTTCTCATCGCTGGGTGCACTAGAAGCCCTGGAGGGCTAAGCAATTCCTGTGGCCAGTCCTTCTGACCAATAGGACTCGGAGTCTTTGGGGATGGGGCCTAAGCATATTGTTTGGAAGCTCCTCAGGAGAAGTGTGAGCCAGAGTTGATACCACTGCTTTAGGAGAGTGCTTCTCAAATTTAACATGGATTTGTATTATCTGGGGACCTGTTCAATGGCAGACTGATGTAGTAGTGTCTGGGAGGGGGTCTGCATGTCTTAACAAATTCCCAGATGATGTGGTCACACTTTGAGCAGCAGGGCCCTAAGAGCTAGCCTTGAGGCAAAATATAGCCCTGGCCAGGTTGGAGGTCCAAGCAATGAGAAAACTCAACTCTCCTAAAGTCATTTTCTGGGACAATTTTTAAAATTATGGTAAAATTGGGACAATTTTAGTGTAGCAGTAGTATAGGTGCTTAATCAAAATTTGTTTTAGGTGATATCTGTTTTGCTGTATACTTTCTCTTCTTGGGTTCTTTTCTAGGGGGAAAGATAGCTTAAAAGGTCCTAATCTCATACATAAAACCATTTCAAAAGAGGCTGGGGGTTTAGAGTGGCGACTCAACTCCAGTTTGTAAAGATAGTGCCTGACAGATAGCTGCAGTGCCTGGTTACCAGAAGGCAGATATGGGGATCGAGGGTGACCTCAGGGACATGCTGGGGGTGGAAGTCAGCATCAGGAGCTTCAGTCTGGCTGGTGCTGGAATGAGTGGCTTTGGAAACCCAGTAGCTTTGGAAAATGAATCAGCCCAGAGGTCATCCTGAGGGGTCCATGACTCTGCTGTGCCGAGGAAGTCAACTCTGGGAACATGTAGTAGCAGCACATACAATAAACCCGAGGTTAGTTCTTCATTTCAGAAACCCTTTTACAAGTTGATGAAAAAACTACAAATGGTGAAGGAGGAACTAAAATGCATGGGGGGGAAATGTTGCATCTCAGTAGTAATCAAATAGCTGCAATTTAAATCAAGCTAGCACTGGCTCCTTCTAATTAGTAGAGCCTTTTTTCCTATGCTGGTTATAAATGGCTCTTGAAGAAGAGGGAGGGAGGGAGGAAGGGAGGAAGGAAGGGAGGGAGGGAATACACATACCAGCCAGGGAAGGAGAATGCTGGTAGACATGCTTGAGGAAAGCAATTTGACAAAATGTCATCACCCTTGAAATGCTCAAAACCTTGGACCCCCTCGTATGACCCCTGGGAATCTATCCTCAAGAAATAATTATAAATAACAAAAAAAGGAATAGACTTCTAGTTTTCAATAGCGTCCTTATTTGAGTACTAGCAAAAGACTGGAAACCTGCTAGCTGTTCAAGCCTAGAGGACTGCTTCTCCAAGGACTACTACACCCATTTAAAATGATATGTATTAAGTGTATATCGTGGCACTGAGAAGTGCTTGTAATGTTTAATTTTTAAAAATGCAATGATGGCCCAGCCAGCATGGCCCAGAGGTTGAGCACCGACCTAGGATCCAGGAGATCGAGGTCTGATTCCCCGTCAGGGCACATGGCCAGGTTGTGGCTCAATCCCCAGCAGGGGGTGTGTAGGTGGCAGCCGATCAGTGACTCTCATCATTGATGTTTCTCTCCCCTTCTCCCTTCCTCTCTCTGCAATCAGTAAAGACATATTAAAATAAATAAATAAACAACCAGGGAATGTACAAATAGGTGGAACAACAGATCTGTGTTTCTCTCTCTCTCCCCTCCACCCTCTCTCTAAAATCAATAAATTTTAAAAAATGATTTGCTCTTAAATATCTGACTTCCTTTGACAAGCGTGCTGATGTACTTACAGCCACTTGGGGAACAGCAGTGAGATCACCCTTCTGTGTGAGCATGTGTTTTCGAGCTTTGGTGTTTCCGCCCTGGCCTTTGTGGCTCGGTGCCGGGTGTTCTGTGCACTGAAAGTTGCTGGTTCGATTTCCCGCCAGGGCACAAGCCCAGGTCAGGGGCGGGCAGGAGGCAGCTGATCATTGTTTCACTTTTGCATCAATGTTTCTTTCTCCCTCGCCCTTTCTTTCTCTCTCTCTAAAAATCAATTTTAAAAATCTTTTTTAAAAAGAGAGAGATTTAGTGTTTCAGTACTGATTCAAATCTTTGGATTTTTTAAATAAAAATAGTCATGCTCCCAAAGTGA